TACCTGAACTCAACAATACGACCGATAACATCAGAGAGCTCAATTCTTCTACCATAATTTGTTTTCAGTTCTTCAAGAAACGAATGCTTTCTGTTTTCATGAATGCCATCCGAACCCATTTGTCCTCCCCTCCACTTAGAATAATAACCACCAGAATTTCTGGGGGAACTTTGAGAAAACCCAAAATCATACCTTCTTTTTCCAAAACTACCCCCTCCAACTGGAGATTCCGGAAAAACCGGGCTGCCAAGAGGCGATGTTTGAAACTGAGGCACAAATCCCATTTTCCTGCTCGGAGATAACTGTAAATTCTGGTCAGTCGAGTAAGCAGTAGGTGTAGATGAGCTATCTCGCAAAGCAAAAGAATCAACTTGATTACTAATCACACTACTAGGTGATGGTACATTGCTATATTGCATGGGGAAGCCATATGGATCTTGCACAGCTTGTTGAAAATACGGAAAATTCGGGTGCACTGTTAGTCCATGTTGGTTATAGAATCTGTTCAAGCTCTGCACAGGAGACCCTTTTGGGATATTTTCACTATTAGGAACAGAAGCAATTTGACTGCTAAAACTTTGCCCGGAATTAGCATTAAACAGCATAGGGAAACCCGTATGAGGCGAATATCCGGCCAAATATGGAGGAATAAACGAGGAGCCCATAGCATATCCACTATACTGTGGGTATAAACCAGACGAGCTGAAATTCGCGTAAATTGAATTTGCAGGAGCCATATATGCTGCAGTTGTTGCATAAATGGGAGGTAAGGCCCCAGGAGAAGGAAGAAGAGGCTGCATCTCGACCGAGGAGTGAGTTTGTTCTACACGTACTTCATTCAGCTCGTCAAATCCTAAATCATTTTTCTCGTGATAATCATTAGCAACAAAATATGCAACGTTGCTGTTTGATTTATCCTTCTGTGGAGAAAGAGACCTCCTTTGGTTTTTTAAATGATCGTATGCATGAACTGGATCAATGCTTGACTCTAGTTCGAGTTGCTTCGAAGATTTGTCGGGCTGTGAATCTAACGACAAGCTTTGAATATCAATGTGAAGTGGTTCTTCAACATGGCTTGTTGAGGATTGATTCTGACTAAAAACTGGTGATGGGGTTCGAGGAAAATCTGCCTGCAAATTGGAGAGGACTCTATGAACTAAAGAAATCTGAGTTATAGCGTAAAA